CGGCCCGAAAAATGTTCTACGAACAGATATTTTCGAAAATATCTGTTCTTTTCCCCGTTTCTCGTTTTTCATGTTTATATATATACATGTAGTTTCTGTGTTCTTTGTTATTCGTTCTCCTGATGATACCGAGTGTTACTCGTCGAAAGCTTGAGATGGAATTACTGTGGATTTGAATAAAATCTAATCATGTACTTCGTAGCAGTATGGTACTATCTAATTCAGAATAATGACAATTCTTTTCGAGTGTAAAAGCGGTGATTTCAATACGGTTTAAAATTCAATAAAGTCATTAACTACATAGTAAAAAAAAGACGCCGGTATCCTTGCCGATTCCCTTATTCTATCATTTCACTGTGTCGACACCTATTTATTTTGTGGAAGAATCCGAAAAATATTTTACACTTTTTTAGAAGACCCATCCCTCATTCTGAAAATAATATTTATTTCCGGATACGTTTATCTTTGCGTAAGGTCGCTTTTTCATTCGTCGCAAAGTGCATTTGAAAATAAAATCACTTTTTCAAGCAACAATTTTTCACCACTTCACGGACTAAATTATGATGCGCGGCACATTCGTGGTATGCCTTAAGAATTGCATCGGTATAATTTAAGAACAAATGTTTCAATGAACTTTAAGCCTACAGTGATAAATGCACGATTTTTCGATTTTTTTTCCAACTTTCATTGTCGAATGGAAAGAACTTTTGCAACAATCTCCTAATCCTTGCACTCGCGTAAATAGAATATTTTCAGAAAAGAATTACGCTTCAGTTTACAGGTGGTGGTACCAAAAATTCTTCGATGTTTAGTTAGTCGACGCGTAGAAACTTTTTATTGTCGGATAAGAGCTAACTTCCCGCTTTTTCTAACTTCTCCGAGAGATTATACTACTCGATCAGATTCTTAGTCTTTATTTCGCTGCGTACAATTTCATCTGAAATACACGGGCTTCTTAAACTTAGGCGTATACCGCTCATCTGTTTAAAATACGTTTACTGCACTCCTTCTCCTTTTATGTTTTAACAAATATATTAAATGGGTGTGATGTCCGTCTCATGTCTCTCTCTCTTCTGATTTATGTGCTTTAAAGATTTCTGTTCTCATGATTTATCTAATTCTTCATACATTTCTATTTCCAATCTGATCAAAAATAAAGTTTATAACAATAGCACATTCACACACGAACAAACACAACACAATTTGGTATACTCAATGTCGCACGACGTGGCTACAGGTTGAACGTCACCGAACGCAGTGTCACTCGTTGGTTATGCGTCGAACAGTTGATCTCAGGAGGTTCCGACATGGTATTCCCGTATATTGTAGCGTTGCCTAGGATCTTTATTGCCCAGTTATTTGTGCTTGGAGTGTGCACGTAGGAAACGATGTCCTCCTGACAGGTCGGGCACTTGTACGTGTAAAGTTGTGTGATGATCGCGAAAGTACCAGCGGCCGTAGTGATGGTGGGAATGTTTGCCATCTCCGCGTGGAAGCTGCAAAAGCTCAGAGTCAAGCATAAAATTACAAAGCTCTTAAAGAGTGGAGCTTACAATACAACAAACACGACAGTCACTACGCATGCAACAATCTCAAATTAGGAATCGCTAACCGGCACCGAACGGTTTGTTACCGAACATGTTCAGTCACCAAACTGTTCGCAACCGGACATGTTCGGTCACCAAATGGTTTGTTGTTGTTGCTACTCAACATGTGTTGGATGGTTGTGAGCTTGGGATGGTTGCATGCCTGATCTGGACTAAAGGCAAATTGAATGAAACTGAAGCTTTTGAAGGAACTAATCAGTGAGAAAATAGACTAAAGTACAATGTGAGCGAATGCGTCTACCGGATCGCTATCGAAGGTTTAATAGAAATAGTTTGTCAAAGCTAAGTACTTGAGAACTAAGAAACACACGAAAGAAATCTTCGTAAAGCAGAAAAACTGGTGAAGATTACAGCAAACGGAGGAGCAGCCTTGATTACGCCGTAGCTGTAGGTAGTCATGTAAAGAAAAGTTTGAATCAGAGCAGCAAATTTATGTTTGCTTTATTCCAGGAAGTTGAAAGTACTTTTAGTTTCCATTATATCTGATTTACTCTCTAATTATTTACTAACGTGGCCTCTGTACAGCAGATTGATTTACTTTGTTTTCGCAATTTTGGGGGGTGCGTACCCCCCTCCCCCCAAAATTTAAAAGAACAGTAACAAGGTAATTATTTAAAATAAAGTTTACACTATCTCGGACAAAAAACTTTCGTTACACCCCCCCAATGTCCGGCACCTACTCAGATCCCTGGCCTAGAGTGGAGAATTATCAAAAAGACCTATGTATAAAAAATGAAACAAACATACAACGTCTATTTCTGCAACGATTTAACAAGATTGGTAAGTTTTATCTGATGAGACTGTTTGATGATATCAAGAAGATTGTTTTTATTGGTCAAAACTTTGTTGCTGAATATTTACATATCGTTGTTCCATTTATGTTTTAGGATCAACTATGGAAAGAATGTGTCATAAATGATTCCCCCGTACTTGAATTATGGGCAAAATTTTTATATTATTATACAAATGTCTTCAAATTTAAAGAAGAAGTTGTATCAGTTAGAGAAATATCACCAATGTTTGAACAACAAGATCAATTAAACGAAATACTAGTGATAGAAGATCCATTCATATTACAGAAAAATTGTGCAAAAACTTAATCATCGTCAAGCAAGTTACATACGGCAAAAAAAAATGTCTGAAATATTTTTGTTTAGATCGGTCAAAAATTCAAGAGATATTTTCATGCGCGTTGAGAAATGTTGATCAATTTCGTGTACCAGAAAATTTATCAAAACGTTGATTTAACAACTCAGTCGATATTAATATTAATGGTATGCTGATCGTAGTTTGCAATTACTTCTTTTGGCCAGGAGATTTTTACGTATCGGAGATAATCTCCAGGCGATTAGACTTTGACAGAAACTTTCTGCCTTTCTGCAATCGTCTTTCTTTGTATGCAGTCTCTTTCTGTCTATTTCCCTGCTGATGTGTAGACCTGGTACCTTTTAGTACTTGCACAATGTAATATTTCAATAGCCCTTGTTTAATTGTTAACTAAAGTATTCTACTCTTATCTCCGAGTCTTTGTTGTTTGAAAGTTGAATTATTCTGTTAAACTGTCTTCGTTTTTTTCTTGGATGCTTATGCCTTCTGTATGCTTGGATGCGTTGCTGCCAATGACCATTGGACATGGTTTCTGTTTCGTAACTAAGCAACAAAAGAGGATAACCACTGATCACATTTGCTCAAGAAAATAAGCAAAGTCTACAAATATGCTTCAAACTATCAAGAGTCGTGCCAGACACTACCTTCTCTCTGAAACAATTACTTTAGTTCAACAGCACTACGTTTAATGAGAATAAACGCTACTCAGTTGACGCCACCTATAAAAATGAATATCTTTCCCTAGCCGAGACTTCCGGCAAAACTCCCACGAGACTTGTGTCACGAGGTCCTGCGGGATCCTGCGGCAGTCAGTCAGGTGGGACTTTCAAGAGATTTCTCAGGACTCCTGAGGACTCCCGCAGGACTCCTGAGGACTCCCGCAGGACTCGAAAGTTCCACATGAGCCCTGAGAAATCTCTTGAAAGTCCGACCTGACCCCTGCATGATCCTGTAGGATCCCGTGGGAGCTTTGCCTGGAGTCTCCACTAGGGTTGCAACCTTTGAGACTTCAAAAACGAAACTTTCAGAAAATCTTTAAGTAATGGTCGTTATTCATTTCGCAAAATTTCATCTCGATTCGTCTGGCGCAAGTAAATTTTATTTTTCAACCTCTATCATAAGGGAAAGCGTCAATGCTAGAGACGAGATAGCTGTTCGTTTTGTTGTCGATATTAACTAAACCAAAATTCTTTTCTATTAGAACCATCGCCTTTGTGGCAAGCCAATCAAGATGCTCTTGACGCTTTATTGCTGTTCTATTAAATTGAATGGTTACAAAAAATATTCTAAATTAACTTGATCGCATTTTCAGAATAGTTTTATTTTGGCTATGCTATAAACTTCGTTTGATCTAAATACTTTACTGCAGTCTATACTTTCAATAGTGGTGTTTAATATTCGCTGGTGTGCGGGGAATAGATCTCACGCTCAATTGTTCGTTGACTATTCCCCATGAGGTTTTTTTTGGTTGAATCGATCGATCCGTCACAGTTCATGGCGATTGGAGAGAAAACTGCGATCTCATGATGCACAAACACGTTTGTGCACCATGAAATCGCAGTTTTGATCGTGGTCGACATGACCTGTGATAGATCGATTAGTCACCACCAAATCATCAAAAAAAAAACTTCATGGATAAGGTCATTATGTAATTCACACTTGAATGAAACGAAAAACGTTACTCAATTGCTTTACGAAAAATGCTTTTTACACTTTTTCTAAAATAGATTGTCCTTTTGAAAGGTCGTTAATTCGCCACTACACATCTTTTTTAACTTATTTCTAATGTGCGTAGAATTATCTACCCAGCAGATGTTGTAAGAGATCGTCATATTATGTTGGTTTTGCATAGAAATGATTACGTAACTGATCGGATACTTCATTCAAGCGAGTAACTGATCATACGTGTTTACTAAATGAATTTCTGATGTATTGTACCTGAATCATACAGAATTGAATCATGCCAATTCAATAGGTATCAAAAACATGTTCAAAACTACTAAATAACTTTCTATTATTTTCTGTTTTTTGTCGAATGAAATTTTTGTCACGTCATTAACAACTACCCGATATATGTGAAAGTATATCGTTTATATGAGAAACAAAATGAAAACTGCGGTGCTTCAAACTACTGAGAAAAGAAAAAATAGTCTCTAAGTTCATCGTCGATGCTTACCTATTATCCTTTATGATGTCTGAAAAACATTCAAAAATATCTTACAACCTAGCTTTTCAAGGATCCTCTAGCTACGCCATCTGTAGCAAATATTTCGAGCTTGATCATTCTAAAGAAAGATGCGTCTCTTGGCGACAATAGACAAAACTGCCAGTTTCTGTCGCTGTTCTTGCAGATACTATTCATAGAATAGGCGATCGCACGGTGAATCTTATGAATACCGAAGACTTTAAATAGACACAAATATTTGTTCAACTGTCCAGCAACTATCTAATCAAACTGAAAATTTATCATATCAAAATAGTCTCACTCTAACAATCTACTTGCAAAAGAAATATAATTCAGACCAAGCCTCTTCTACTCTTTTTTTGTAGAATTCAGACAAAAAAAACTGCATCTCAAATTAATGCACTTCACAGAACCCTTTTATTTTACGTTTTTTCTCGTACAGGTGAGGATTATGTAACTGAGGGGTGTGTTTCTACATTTTTGAAGTGTCCTGTTTTATTACCCCATAAGTCTGTTTTCGATCTTTCCTACTTTATAATAATTGAAAACAATAAATGAAAGTAACGACGACATCTAAAATGACAAAGTGCGTAGTCTGAGAAAAACAAGAATATAATTACCTGATTGTGTGTAGAGAAGAAAAGAAGGAAGCGTGTATGTAGAATCAGTATGCCTAATTATGGCAGAAAAATTTTCATTTTTGTAAATCTCTATTTGGTCGGCCGTTTCTTAAGAGATAAAGGAGAGTTTTAGATTCCAGAATAGAGGAAACAATTCTCTATCTAACTGTATAGAAAGTTTGCAAAACTAATTTAATTTGACTTGATTACAGTGCTAAAACGAGAGGCATATTCGATTCTTTTGCGTTTCTACATGTTTTCAAATATAGCAGATGAGCCATTTTTTGTTCTCAATTATAGCAGTTTCACTTAAATACAGAGTGGTTTTATCTTTCTGACAGAAAAAAAGTTGTGACCGCAATTCGAAGTAAAAAATATTCCTATGATTAAGGACTACACGCTTGTATGATTTGAGTCTAAACAGGTGAACTTTTCTGCTTAAGTGTAATGTTTGCTGTAAATGCTGATGCACAATCTAGTCTCCGACTTTACCAAACAACCATGCAGGCCAGAAGCTCTGGCCTGCGAGGTTTGTTTAAAAGAACCAAACAGATCGATGTGAAAATCTGAGGAGAGAGCAGTACGAAAGAAAGAAGAGAAAATTGAGTATAAAACTGCGAGTATAAAACGAGATTATACATAGCGTAAATGTGCCTAGAGAAAAATTATCGGAATGGCTATTGCCATCACCGATGCTGTCAACAAGGAGCTATTGTCACCGCCAGGTGGTGTCAGCTACAGCTATTGCCACCACCGGTGGTATCAACAAGGAGCTATTGTCACCATCGGTGATGTCAACTACGGCTATTGACACCACCAAGCAAAATCAAAGAACAGGTGGTGTCAACTAAAACAATCTCCAAAAGTAAATCATATTTTGACATGATCTCCATACAAAACTGTGTCGCACGGTGGTGTCAATAGCCGTAGTTAACACCACCTACTCTCTGATTTTGCTTGGTGGTGGCAATAGCTCCTAATTGACACCTCCTGGTGGTGACAATAGCTCGTTGTTGACACCACCGGTGGTGGTAATAGAGCTACCCAAAAATTATTCAGCCAAAGACAGCTGTTCTTCGAACGTGTGATCCTGTTTAAGATAACGTTCTTATTCTTTTTCTCTTCTGTTCAAATAAAGATGATATTCATGCTTCTAGTGTTCAAGTAGAGTAATATTCTTTCTTTATCTATTGTTCATTTTTCAAATTCATATCATTTTGCTGATGATGATACAAGGTATACATCGACGCTCGAAATCAACAATAAATTAGATTTTGTATAAAAGCTCGTTATGTTTTTTGTACCAGTTTATACTGAATTTTCTCTTCTTTCGTACTGCCTTCTCCTCAGATTGTTACATAAATCTGTTTGGTTGTTTGGTGAAGTCGGAGACTAGATTGTGCATCAGCATTTACAGCAAACATTACACTTAAGCAGAAAAGTTCACCTGTTTAGACTCAAATCATACAAGCGTGTAGTCCTTAATCATAGG